AAGTGTCGGGTTTATTACTTATAGAATTAGTTAAGTGTTGAACTTTTTCTTGAGAAGTGCAAACACCAGACCGGGTGCTTGGTCTGATACCCTGAATCCCACATCGGGAATGCACTGGGAAGATCTTTGCCACATAAACAAGGCCTAGGAAACCCAGTCACCTTCAACTTGCACTTTTGGACAAGGCCTTGGGTTGTTACAAATGGTATCACACCCCAACCTGGCCGGTTGCCTATGTGGGATTTGTGGGCCTTTGTTATGACAACGTCTCCCTTGTGCTACGGGATAACGTGGATCCGAGGGCAGCTAAATGGTTGAATTGCTCATCGAAAGGCCTGCCTGTTTGATAAAGGTGATTCCCGTCTTGGCGAGGATGCCAAGTCCTAAAGTAGGGCAGGTTGTGATACCCCGAATCCCATATAAAAAATGCACTGGGAAGATCTATGTTACATAAGCAAGGCCTAGGAGTCCAAAAGTCACCTTCAGCTAGCACTTTTGGATTAGGCCTTGGGCCATTAACTTGCTGTGGTTTTTTACTTGAAATCTGCCACGTCAACAACAATTAAGAAGTGGTTTGTAGCCTTTGCCTTTGGTCATGTTAGGCATCTTAAGTCTACCCAATTTATTTGGCTTCTCAGTAGCTGTGTGGTTACTTAAATTTGTGTCAGGGCAATCTTATGATACTCAAACATTTCTGATTTCTTGCATTTGGATAAGTTTTTTTCCCTAATGAACTTCTGTTTGATGTTTGCAGCATTCCACCTCTTTCTGTTGTGGGCCTTAGTGAAGAACAGGCAATAGAACAAGCCAAAGGTGATATATTGGTCTTCACATCGACCTTCACTCCAATGAAGAACACTGTATCTGGGTACGTACGGCATTATGAGGTCTTACTCTTTGCATTACTGCATATGTCCGTACAGACGCAGACTGAAAATTACAATTGTTGCTTTGTTGGTTTGTGCTGTGATGCCCCATGATTAAGTTTGAATTTGGATTCTTTCATGCTTTCCATAAATAAGGTCATCAACATGAGAGCTCAATTATCAATTGAACTATAGGCAAAAATTTTGACTTCAATTTATGAGCAAAATCATGAACGTACAATTATAAGCTTGAAGTTCTATTTATTCTCTTTGAGCAAATTTATAGTCCGTTCCCTTGGTGTTTTAAGCACTGACTTCAATGTATTTGTTTTTTTAATCTTTTTAATCTAGACGACAAGAAAAGACAATTATGAAGCTTCTTGTTGATGCTGAGACAGATAAAGTTATTGGGGCATCCATGTGTGGGCCAGATTCACCTGAGATTGTGCAGGTATATGTTGTGTTATTTGTACAACTCCGTAAATCTCAAATGCTATGTTGTGTTTGCAATTGCTGTAATTTGATACATAAAAGAACTTTTCGACTCAACAAAACTGCGCTTGCATAACTGAAGTCAACTAATTCCTTATTTTCTGTACAAATTTGCCCTCGAGTACAACAGGACTTCTCTCTAGTTTTAATTTGTCTGTATCCCTAGATATGAATAGTTATTGCAGTGTCTGCATGTTGAGAGTCCTTCAAGAATCAATTATTTTCAGCTCTATTTTTTTAGTAATTCCTGAGAGGAACCTTGCAATATTGTTGCCCATGATCCTATGTTTTACTACCTAAGTGATGGTATATTATGAGTATTAAAGAAGAAAAATAGAAAGCTTAATCTTGCGTGTGATACTTGAGTAAAATCTTTTGGATAATTGTCATCTTTAGCTTGTGATCTGACAAAGTATTAGGCACAGGAAGGGATTTAGGACCAAACAATATTCTTATTGAGGTTTTTGAAGTGTTTAGAAGATGAGGGCATGTATGCTTGATGATAGGAGATAAAGTATTGTACTACATGAATAAAGGGGATATTCAAAGTTGTACAAACTATCATGGAACTAAGTTGATGACTCACATTATGGAAACTTTGGAAGAGTGTTCAAGATCGATTTTGAAAGGTGTAATATCATGTGTAGTGGATCTTCTTAGATAATGTCACAGAAAAAGAGGGTTTGGGGTTAGGGTGGAGGAAGTTGCTTAATGGATACATAAAATCGGCCAATTTTTCAGTTCTGATCAATGGAAGGCCTAGGCGGAAGTTCAGGGCCTCTAGGGCATTGGGTCAAGGTGTGACCCGCTGCCACTTTTTCTTTCTCACTAGTTGTCGATATTTTGAGCAGATCAGGTTGAAAAAGCTAAAGAAAATGCGCTCATAGAAGCCTTTAGATTCATGAGTTATCATTTTCTAATAGACAAAGGTTAATTTTCACCATGTTGCAGAGATTTTGTGTAATTTGAGCTTATACTGCTTCTAAATGCTGTTTATAGTACTCTTCATCCTCTTTTCATTTTACCATCTTATTGTTGTTCAGAGAATTACATTATTTTGGGTGTCTTACACAGGGCATTGCTATTGCACTGAAGTGTGGGGCAACCAAGGCACAGTTTGACAGTACGGTAAGTTGGGTATTAGTGCTGGGCGAAGATTCATTTCTGAGTTTTACTTTCGAATCACCTACTTTGTGTATTTTGTTAGGACCATTGATCATACTTGGGACTTTTCGTTATGGCTATTAAGTAGTTCAAGTGTTTGCCACTTTAATGTCTTGTTTTTAGCTTAAGGAAAACAGTCTGTTGAATTAATGCACAAAAAAGAATGCTTATTCACTAACTATTTGCACAGAAGCAGAGGATAAACACATTTTCTCTTTAAGGACAGAAAGAAACATGGGTTGAGAGGGAGAGGATGAGTTGGGTGCAATAGGGGGGAAGGGGAGAGGTGGTAACCATCCTTTAACTTTTGTTATGGATGTTGGAAGGGAAAGTAAATGGTGATTTTATTCTGAGTATATTCCCCTGTAAATTGTTTTGTTTTCTAAATGCCTTTTTACCTTGTGGCTTCACTTTTACTGAAAATTATTTTTTGTTCCTTGTGCAGGTGGGAATACACCCTTCTGCAGCAGAGGAATTCGTGACAATGCGTTCAGTGACGAGGCGTATTGCTGCAGGTAGCAAACCAAAGACAAATCTATAAGGATGCAAGCAATAGGACGAAAAGATTTGTATACAAGGTCTGGAGGAGTTAGTCCTGTCCTCCCAAAGCTTACGTAGTTGTTTCACATTCACCAGAGGAGGAAACATAGATATATTTTGGGAAATTTAAATTGGTTGAATTCTGTCACATTAAGAGCTTGTAGGGCAGTATAAGTTCTAAATGATTGATGGAGATACAATATTGATCTCTACATAACCATATCAGTTGATCCATGATAGTGTTGCCGTGCTTTATATACACTGCAGATATCTGTCAATTTAGACACTGTTTAATTGATTGCACGAGTAATTTACTTCCTCCCTTTTTAATAAAATACAATTAAGTTTTCTGCTTATGTTCAAAGTGAAGTTGCTTTAGCTGTGGGGCTTAAGGTTAAGTATCTAGTACTCAATGTTTGAAAAATTGCTAGGCGGTAGGCAGGCGGCAGGGGAGCCCGCCGCCTGGGTGTCTATTTTTATAAAATTATTTTGTATTATAAATTATAAATTTATACCAAAATTAATAAGAAAATGTATATGTGCCAGTCATGATATATGTTTTGATGATATAAAGCAGGGGGTTGAAACACAATTAGGTTATGTTTTAGTATATGGGCCCAAGCCCATAAGAGAACCTTGTTAAAATACCAGCCCATAAGCGAAACACGGCGTTTCACTAACCCTGTCTTCACCTTTTTGGGGACAAACTCCTCACTTATCTCCTATGTTTCACAAGTACGGGTACGGGTATGCCGACACAATATGATTTGTAAATACGGCAAAACTCCAAAAATTATTAGGATAAGAGTACGACACCGATATGGTGATTAAAATAATATATATTTAAAAAATAATATAAATAGCAAAAATTAATATTGCATTCATCATGTTATAATCATCCATCACAAGTACAAAACATAAAACAAAACACAAAACACAGGTCTCCATAAACAAAACACAAAATATAAGGGCCCGTCTGGTAACGTTTTCGGAGAGTGTTTTCTGAGAATATTTTCAGAGAATGAAAACAAGAAAACAAATTTGCATTTTCAGGAAATGAAAATGCGTCTGGTAGATTAATTAGAAAACATCTTCAGAAAATAAAAACAATGAAAATGTGTCTGGTAGTATAATTTGAAAATAATAATATGTGACTTATTTTCAATTGTATTTTTGCTAATTTCAGTTTTTTTTAATAAAAAAAATCTGCTATTTTTAGAAGACAAAAATTTATAAACAATAAAAAAAATGTATAATTTAACAAATAAAAAATTCTAATGTTTTTTTTAAGACAAACTATCTTATCTCATTTCTTTTTTCTCTTTCTCTTTCTTCCTTTCCTTCCTTCCCAGGCCCGTGCCCTTCTTTTTTCTCTTTCTTTCTCTTTTCCTTTTTTCTTCTTCTATTCCTTCCCAGACTTTCTTTTTTCTTTCTTCCTTTTTCTCTGTTTTCTCTTCTCTTCTTCTTCCTCTATATGATTCTTTCTCTTCATCTTCCTCTCTTATTTTTTATTTTCTTCTTCCTCTCTCTGATTCTTCCTGTTCTTCTTCTCTCTTCATACTTGTGAGGTTTGGTGGCAATGGCAGAATCAGTGGCGGTTGTGATGATGATGGTCTGACAGTCGTGGGCGTGGTGAGTTTGATTTTCGTTTCGTTTCTGTTTTGCTGGGTAGAGCGATGGGGTTGTGCATTTCGGTTTATGTTTTAGGCGTTTGTTTTCTGTGAGAATGAAAACACATTTTTTCTGTTTTTCCGAAGTATACGTGATGTTGTTTTCATTTTATGAAAACATTCTGAGTGTTTTCTGTTTTAGTCCACTGAACGGATTCTTGGTTTGTTTTTGTTTTTTGAAAATGAAAACGGGCGCTGAAAACTTAAACGAACGGGCCCTAAGTCTCCATAGGATTGTTCAAATCATAAAAAAAGGTAACACAAAAACAAACTAAAACATTGAGAAGCCACTTCCCAAATCTAGCTCCGTAGGATTTTATAAATTTGAAAACGACCAAATATATTTTCAAAATTACCCCTTCAAGTATCGAAAACATATCATTGAAGTATCGGAAACGTATTGGAAGGTCAAACTTTCAGAAAAAGTCAACGACACTCCTATATCCGTATCAAATACGTATAAGAGGCTTATCGTATCCATATTGGCATATCGGAATATCGGATACCAGCATAACCAGTTAGGAGTATCGGTGCAACATAGCTTATCTCTCATCTCTCCACGTCCATCACCTCCCATCTCTCATCTCTCCGCCTCCATCACCTCCCTTGAATTATTGATCAAGTATTAAACTTGCCGATTGGCAACTTTCCTTTTTATTTTTCTCTTTAATTTCCAAGTACAACGTCAACTTGTTTTTTTTTTTTAGTACTACAGGGGAGGGGGATTTCTCACACACACACACAACTATGATGTCGTGGTTCGAACAAAAGACCTCTGGTTTGCAAGTCATCACCCTTTTCCACTGAGCTAGGCCCCGTTGACTTGTATAATAAACAGTAGATATACATATGATTTTCTGCATTTGTTTATAAATGCAAACTACCGTTAAACACATGTACTAAAGCATAAAACTGCACGTCTTTATGGGAAGATATTTTCATACCTAAGCTACTGTTGCCCCTTCACATACGTCGCAAATTGTAAACCCATGACCTTCACAATATGGACACTTTGCTCCCTCTTCCACCCAATCCAAGAACTGCTGTCATTTAACAAAATAATTAAAACTTCATCCTGGATGGATAATGCTCGAAAATGAGAATATTAATATCTCTGTTTGAAACCTCTAACCTGTTCTTCAATGTTTGGCTCGCCTGTTCCATCACATTCTGCAACAAAGAAATACACAGATAAGCTACCAAGGGGACTGAGGATAGTTGAAACAAAATATGCGAAAGTACAAAAATAAAACTAATGCATATCATCATCAAAGCCATTGGTGTTCAACATTATATTTAAAAATCAGATCAAACAAAATAAATTTACAAATACATAGTATGGGTGGATTTAGAGTACTTCTGCAAAAGTTTAGCGTAGCAAGGCAATGGTTTATAAACTTGAATATAGTGACTAAGACGGGAGACAGGAGGTACCTGTGCACAATAAGCGACCCTCCCCTCGACAAGTAAGACACCTTGTTGTGGTATTCATTGTCTTGCTTTCACCTCCTTTTTTTTGGTTCCTGCTAAGTCTAGAAGAATCTTCCCAGCGGTTCTCTCCTAGAAGAAAAACACGATGCTCAGATACCTCTACTTCTGTAACACCTTCTTTCACAAGTGTTTGCTGGACCTCTGAAATTTCTGTTACAGAAGTAACTGCAGCTCCATTTGTATCTTCCTAAACAACAGAACCCACGTAACCATGAGAAGAATTACGATGTTTCAGCTCCTATGTAGTGGTTCGCTATAGCTTATACGAAAATGATCAAGTTGCTAGCTCAAGGCCAACCAAGAGAAGAAAATTAGTTTACCAATATAATCAGCTTCATTTATTAGTACCCAAAATAAGTTATGGTGTGTTACCAGTTACCACAGCACATTATGTCACTGTCATATCGTATTTATTTGCATGTTAAGTGATTGTCTCATGAACTGGAACCAAGAAACCTCATGTCTGAGTTACTGAAAATAAAGTCAGAGCTTCAGGTCCGTTTCTCAATTAAGTAACAGAGCTTCTTGGTTGGTAGTACTGTTTGCTACAATTCGTTACAATCTGGTTGAAGAAAATGAAGGCTTAGTTCACTTCAAATTGAACCATCAAATGAGTTTTTGGCTCCTTTTGAGGAATGCAAGTGATGACTTACCAAACCATTATGTTTAGTTCCAAGTGAGGAATGACATATTGGTACTGAAACTTAAAACATCAACATCTTCCACTTAATAAAGGCTAATGGTATGTCGTCAGAAGGCTATACCGTTTGTGTAGCAGTCAGAGTACTCCCTTTGTTATCCAGACCCTCAATTTGTGCCTCCGTATATAATTGTTCAAGAAGTTCTGCAGTCGCTATGCCATCTTGAGGGGCGTCTAAGGAAGCCTGTCAAACAAGATATTACAAGTTGACTAACATATATATTTCGCGTTGTGAAATTTTTGTTCAACTTGATGATTATGAAATTTTACTCTTCATGCATTATACATAGTAACATCTAATGATAATTGAAACTTACTTGCCAAGTCTTGACAGCACGTTCGGTCCCGATTGAGAAGCTAGAAAACTCCATGTCTTCCTCACCCGAGTAAAATCCTAGTTTTTGCAATGCTTCCTGTCAAATAACAGGAACATTATATTAGAACAAGTCGAAATCACAAATATTACATCCAAAAACGAAGCGAACACTAGAAAAGGAAAGAACCACACAAACCCAGTTACAGAAAAAGAAAATAAACAAAAGTTAACAACTTTTTATACTAAAAAGAAAGTTAATACCCCCTAGTAAGTTGTAATTAACCGTATGCTGCTCAGTTTTCAGTTTGCCAAATTTAAAAGTACAATTTTATAGTTCAAAGACAACACTAAATCATAAACAAAACACAAGAAATGAATGATAGACTCCCAAAAATCAAAACTCGCCTTTCAACAGCAAGCAGACCTGCATAGCTCGGACCTCTTCACCTTCCGACCCCTTCCTCAAAGCATTTCTGCTCTTCTTCTTCTCCTTCACTTCCGGAACGGCAGACACCTCCTGAATCTCCTCCTGAATATGGTCCAATTCTATCGCTCTGGAACTCGACCCTGTCTCAGCTATCCGATTTTTCTCCGTCAAAATCTGCAACAAGCCGGCGATGTTGGCGATGGTCTCGGACTCCGACACCGAAGCCCCTCCTCCTTCCTGGCGATGCTCTAGGGCCTGAATTTTGAGCTTGAGCTCGGTGATTTCTCGCAGGAGCGAGTCGCGTTCACGGGCCCAGCGCTGTTCTTCTCGGAGCCAGCGCTGCTCCTCGCGGAGCCATCGCTGCTCTTCGCGGAGCCAGCGGGACTCCTCGCTGTCGTTTTGGGAAGAGGAAGAATTTGAAGAGAAGCAGATGATGTGGGGAGATTTGAAGGATTTGAAAGTGCGGGAAAGTGGAGAGAGAGAGTAACATTGGTGGGGTTTTTTGGGGGCAAATGGAAGTGAAAGAAGAGGAGGAGGAGGAGGATGAGGGTGAAGAAAGAGAGTGAGAGAGCAAGAAGACATCTAAGAAAAAGAAAACTTAGCTGTAACTTGCAAGAGAGAAATTAAAGAAAGAAAGAAGATGAAGAAGATATGCGTTGAGTGGATATGAAGGGTGAAGTTTTCTACTTTGAAACCACACGCTTGGGTTTGGGGTTTGGGGTTTGGTTAGTACAAGCCTCACTCAACCGTCACCGTTTGCACAACCGCCATTACAACGGTCACTTTCCCTCCCCCGCTCTCTCAATCTCAAGGAGAGCATTTCCACTAGTCAAAATTTGGCCTTAAATTACATACAAATTATTTATAACTGCTCACTTTTATAATACTACTCCAACAAATAACGTGTATAAATGAGTAAAAGAAAAAAAATAATTTATCCAAGATCTACACATCGAGAAATTATAGAATAAAATTGTACCACACGACGTTTGTTCTTTCTTAAAATTTTGACTTTTGATCTCATTTATTGGCATGGTTGATTATTTATGGTATATAATGACCTTAAGTTTCGATTTTAGGTTTTTTAAATATTTTTTGTAGATAATTATATTGGTTGGGGGATGGGATTTTCTCACACAGCCAATGTGCTATAGGGTTTCGAATAACCAGATTTCTAATCGAGAATAAAAGCTATTGATCAGTCCAAGGCTAGAATCATGATGTCCAAGTGATTCTACACCCTAGAGTAATTAACAATGTTAATAAATGAGATCTAAGCTGAAGAAATTGAGTAAAAATGGATATTTCTCAACACGTCCGTTCTCTCCTATCCAAAAAATATAGGAGCAAGTTTCTCTTGCCATTGGCCATGAGTGAACATGGACTCTTGACATCGGTGATTGCCCTGCCGTCATATTGTGACTGCGTACGTGATTGCCTGCCGTCATACTGTGACTGCGAACGTGATTATTAGGTGTTTTTTTTTTTTAACGCAATAATGTTACAATTACGAAATTATATATTTTTTTTAGTCGACCTATTCAGTATCTCAGTTGTAATTAAAAAAAAAAAAGCAAGATTTTGAATAGCCAATATTTAAATAACTGATGAAAATTTCTAAAAACTAAACGAAAAGTCCAAGAGAGAGAGTAGAGGGACTGATAAGGTTTGGGAGGCGAGTTCCCAAACACTGGAAGGCTTCACCAAGATTGAAGGAAGGCATCTAACCATCTTGGTGGAATATAAGCAAAATAAGGAAAAAGAAGAACAAAGCATGATGATTCCAGGTTGATAAGCAAAATAAGCCCGTATTTTACAACTTTGAAA